CCCTTAATCCCCGGCCGAGGTTCATTATGCAGCGGCAGACCATTATCACCAGGCGCTGCTTGCCGACTGCGCCCGCGTGATCAGCGACTCGCTCGCGCGGGATCCGTCAAGGTGGAGCGAGGAGGGCCGCGTTCAGCTTCACCAGTGGCAGCTCTGGCTCTCTCTTGAGCGAGGCGAAGACGGCCAGCAGCATCTCCTCCCCGCCCCCCAGCGCCAGCTTTGCCGCGACGCTATGGTGGCGACCGTAGCTCGGCCGTCAGGTTTGCATCGCTCGGTAGCGGCTGCCCTTGCCGCCGTCCGCTCCGGCTTCGAGGAGGAGCATCTCGAGCCGCGCACCGGCTACTCGCTCGACCTGGCGCTGCCCTCGTCACGCATCGCGGTCGAGGTGGACGGCCCCTCTCACTTCCTGCTGCCCGACGGCCGGGGCGTGCGCAGACCCAATGGGCCGACGCTGCTCAAGCGGCGCCTCCTTGCGGCGGCTGGCTGGAGGGTGATCAGCGTTCCATTCTACGAGTGGGACGGCTTCGCGACGGCCAAGGAGCGGCAAACCTACCTGCAGGGGGCGGTCGCCCCGCTGTTGGGCTAGTGCTTGGCGGGCGGCTCCGCGGTGTACCTGTGTTAGTCGGCCAGTCAGTGCGCGTCGCAGGAAGGGCGCTGGGAGCAACACGGAGCTCAGTTGGACGTTTTCAAGAGTAGCGTGTCAGAGTGAAATGGAACTAGCCTTGTGCACTGGCGGTGGCGCGTGTGCTACAAGAAATAACGCCTCTGTCTAAAAGAATTAACAAATCCCGACCTTCACAGCTCACGACCTTGAAGGGGTGGTGATCTATCGCGAACCGGCGGTTGGCGGGGGGCTCGCACACCAGGGTAGCAGGGTTGGGCGCGCGAAGAAAACACACACGGGGGTGCGTGTTTTTTGTGTTCAAAGTTCCGGTGCCCAGGTCCGGTGGCCTGACTGTGTTCCGCCCCGTCTATTCTACAGAGCGCCCGCCTCCACGCTCTGCCTACCTTCCCTCTCCCGCTCGCTGACGCTGTGTCCCGAGGTGGAGCGGCAGCCCCACCATCCCGCTCGCCTTGACCGCGTCGATCAGCGCCTGCGAGCCCGCAACCATGGCCGCGACTGACTTGCCTTCTCCGGGACGAAAGATGACCATCGAGCCACATATGCAGGCGGGGCACGCCTTTGGGAAGTCAAAGAGCGGTAAGTGGAGGTACTCCGCCTCACACCCGTCCACGCTCAGCGCCTACGGTACACGTCCGCCCGCGCCTCCCCGTGAGTGCGCAGCCCGCCCCGCCGCCTCGCGCTCCGCAGCAGCGGGCGAGCCTTGGCGAACGATGCCCAGTTGGTGACTGCACCGTATGTGCCACCCATCAGGTGCTCCGCGTTGGTCAGCTGTGCGGTGCGCGGCTCTGCGGCTCGTGTGTAAACGCCGCCGCGCCCCGTCACGCTCCTGCGGATCAGCGAGGGCGTCGCATAGTCGGGAGGCATGTATGTCATCAAGTCCTCGTAGTTGCCCGCGTCCGCCTCGCCGCACCCGGTGACCTGCGGTGAACGACGTGGCGGGCTCATCCTCATCCTCGAGAGTTTCCGCCGGCGTCCCGGCGGCGGCGCCACCTTGCCGCGAAAGTTGATGGCCATCATGGCGCACCGACACTTGAGCGCGCTGAGGAAGGCGGAGACGAGCACGTCATTTGTGCTGACAAAGGGAACCTGTGGTGGCACGACCGTCGTGCGCTGTCCGAATACAGGGGGTCGCCCGCCACGGAGAGCGTCCGGCCGCCCCGAGCGTATCTCATCCGCCTCTCTCGCATCTCCTGCAGCCGCACCCCGTCGGCGATGGTGCCAAAAGAGTCTCCGCGCGTCTCCTCCGCCTTTCGAGCCGCGACCCATTCCTCGTCGACGTGGAAGCCAAGGTGGACGGTGGAGGGGAAGAGGGCGCCGCGCAGCTGGCCAAACAGGAAGCGCGCGAGGAAGCCGGGCGGGCACACCGCCATGGCGCTCTCCTCGCCGCCCGACGCCTGAAGGATCCGCGTGGGCAACTCCTGCTTGCGGACGGGGTTGAGCGCCTCGACAGCCGCACCGGCAGAGAGCATGGTGTGGAGGCGGTAAAAGCCGTGCCCGTCGAGGAGCGAGTGGTTCGCGCTGACGACCAGGGCAAACCGCCCATCCGGCTCGTCGGCGTCCGGGATTAGGCACACGCGCCACAGTCGCTCGCCCGTGCCGAGGGAAGCGTCGCTCGTCTTGCACACCACGGGGTCGACGATGCGCACCATCTCATCGTATGCTGCGCCGCTCGCGAGCAGAATGTCCGCTCGCACCTCAAAGCACGGCTTTGGCGACGGCTGGTGGTAGTATGCCTCCATCAGGCCCGAGTCGGGATCCCTCTCGAGCACCGAGGTGAGCCACGGGTTGGCGGCGACGATCTGGCGCACGCGCCGCGAGAGCGACGCCGCGGCGACATAGGGCGGGCCGCGGAAGAAGGTGACCGTGCTCGTGGCAGGGCTCATGCACAGCAACGGACCGCGCTCGCTCGGCAGCAGCGACAGCTTGACGAGCGAGGCGAGCCGAGCCGCGAGCCGGCGTTGCCGGCGGCGGCGGAGGAGCAGCAAGAGGCCCACGACGGAGGCACCGACGATCAGAGCTCGAGTCGCGGACTTGGGCATGGACTAGGCGGAGGACGCACTCGGGGCGCTAGCGAACTTTTTTCGCACAATCCTCATTCACGTAAACGCATTCACCTGGCGACTCTCCGAGGTCTCTTGGAGCAGAGCCCCGGCGAGGCCTCGAAAGAGCCCTCGAGAGGGGTACCCTGGGTGGGCGGGGCCTCTACTCGCCAGCGCATTCACAGCCTTGTTATGAGAAGAAACTACGTCCTATGGCGCTATTCACATAAACGCACAACCCCGGGCCCGAAATCGCACAGAGACAGTCACGCAACTCGGGGTCCCAGGGAAGACCTACACGAGACACGACTCCTCACGCGGGAGAGTGACTGCCCAGAGGCAGCAGGGCTTCGCGGATGACGGATCGCGCGCGCCGCTGCGGTCGGCCAGAGAATGTGAAACCACACCTCAGCTCTGCGTGCGGTTCCTCTCGAGCTCCGCGTCGCGCGCCGCCACGGTCCCCTTCAGCTCCGCCACCTGGTCGAGCGCGTCGCCGAGCAGCCCCTTGGCCACGCCCAGGTTGCGCAGCTGCTCCACGCCGCCGCTCGCGCGCACCTCGGCGGCGTGGTCGGCCACGAAGCGGCGGCACTGCGCGAGGAGCCGCCCGTCGCCCGTCGTGTGCGCCGCCTCGAGCAGCGGCACGGCGGTCTCCGGCCCGACGCTCTCCTGCAGCGCCTGCGCGCAGAGCAGCTCGAGGCGCGGCAGCTGGTACTTATGCGCCAGCTGCCGCAGCACGAGCGCTCGCCGCGCCTGCTCGCCCTCCCCCTCGCCGAGGTCGAACTGGTCGGTGAGGAGGTAGCGGACGAGGGCGGTGAAGCTGGCGAGGTCCGTTTCGAGCACCGTGACCTCGGCGGCGTCGCGTTCCTTCATGCCGATGCCAAACATCGTCCGAAAGAACACGGACCGCACGCAGAGGGCGGCCTTTGTGACGTGCTCGACGCGCTCCTCGTCGTCGCCGACCAGGAAGGTGACTTTGCCCTCGGGGAGGGTGGCGTCGCCCCACATCTTGCCCATGTCGGCGGAGAAGGTGGAGGGCGGAACCACGAGCGGCGCGAAGGAGGGAGGCGGAGGAGGCGCCGCCACGCAGACCTGGCGGAGGCGGCCGCTCTCGCAGACCGAGAGGGTGCTGCCGTCGGCGCTGCTGGCGAGGTCCATTGGGTATCGGAACCGCGCCTCGTCGCCCACGCCATCAACGCTGCCGTTGGCACCGCTGCCCGCGAGCGTAGTGACCGCGCCAGTCGCCACCTCCACCCGCCGGATCTTGTGGCTGCTGTACTCCGTCACAAACAGCGCGCTCCCGTCTGGGCTGACGGCGAGGCTGTATGGTCCGTTGAACTGCGCCGCATCGCCGACGCCGTCTGCATCGCCCTCCTCGCCGCTACCCGCGAGCGTAATCACCGCGCCCGTCGCCACCTCCACCCGCCGGATCTTGTGGTTGTCGCAGTCCGCCACGAACAGCGCGCTCGCGTCCGGGCTGATGGCGAGGCCGTGTGGGCAGCTGAACTGCGCCGCGCCGCCGACGCCGTCTGCATCGCCTTCCTCGCCGCTGCCTGCTAACGTTGTCACCGCGCCAGTCGCCACCTCCACCCGCCGGTTCTTGTGGTTGCCGGCGTCGGTCACAAACAGCGCGCTCCCGTCCGGGCTGAGAGCGACGCCGGAGAACCTGCCGCCTTCGCAGGTCGCCACGGTGCGCACGCGCCCGGCCGCCGAGACGTGCAGCACCGAGTCCTTAGTCGCGACGTACCAGGCGCCCGCGTGATCGCTTGCGACGCCGCGCAGATCGAGGGACGCCAGAGGTCCGTCCTCGCCCTCGAGCGCCAGCGTGGTGACCTGGCCGACGGTGCGCGCGCCAAAGATGGGCTCCTCGAAGCCGGCAGCGACCGCCACGGGCTCGCCCTCTTCGCCGCCGTTGCCGTCGCGCTCGGTGCGAGCGCGCTTGCCGGAGCGCGACGCCATGGCCATGACGGAGAGGTTAAGCGCTGGCCACGCGACGCGGTGCCAGGTTTGAACACTGCGGAGAATAGGATCTTCACCACAACGTGGTTCGCGCGCGGGGTGGTTCGGCGCGCCGCCGAGTCCAAGCAAAAAAAAATCGTGAAGTCCAGTACACGCTTCTCGACGGACTACAAAATTGTGATGAGAATCCTGGCGAGAAGAATGGCAGAGGCTGCAAGCTCTCTCTCTCACACACAAGAAAAGCACGTACAAGAACGAGGACGTGGACCCCCCCCCCCTAGAAACGGTTCTCGGTCATCACCGAAACGCGTTGTCGGTTCACTCGTAATGGTTGCTGTCGTCTGTCAGCATCCGAAAGGCACTGGAGTTATCCACCATCACCGCACGCTTCTGGAAGAGCGAGAGCGACGCCGCGGCGACATAGGGCGGGCCGCGGAAGAAGGTGACCGTGCTCGTGGCAGGGCTCATGCACAGCAACGGACCGCGCTCGCTCGGCAGCAGCGACAGCTTGACGAGCGAGGCGAGCCGAGCCGCGAGCCGGCGTTGCCGGCGGCGGCGGAGGCCGGAGGAGCAGCAAGAGGCCCACGACGGAGGCACCGACGATCAGAGCTCGAGTCGCGGGCTTGGGCATGGACTAGGCGGAGGACGCACTCGGGGCGCTAGCGAACTTTTTTCGCACAATCCTCATTCACGTAAACGCATTCACCTGGCGACTCTCCGAGGTCTCTTGGAGCAGAGCCCCGGCGAGGCCTCGAAAGAGCCCTCGAGAGGGGTACCCTGGGTGGGCGGGGCCTCTACTCGCCAGCGCATTCACAGCCTTGTTATGAGAAGAAACTACGTCCTATGGCGCTATTCACATAAACGCACAACCCCGGGCCCGAAATCGCACAGAGACAGTCACGCAACTCGGGGTCCCAGGGAAGGCGAGCAAAAACCTTATCGCGCGCGCTAGGCGCCGACTCGGAGGCCGCACCGGTCAGGCGCGCTGCCGGAGAGAGGGAGGCGGTCCGAGGGTGAATCGCCAGCTGCCGCGGCAGGCGGCTGAGCAGCAGAGCTCTGGCACCGGCGGGCGGCGGTGTGCCGCCGCCAGGGCAGCTTCAAGTCGCATTGCGAAAAAAGGAAAGATTTTTTTGGGTTGATGCTACCCAAACTGCACTCCAAGCTCCAAGTGCACTGGGCTTACTGGGACTGTCCCAAAATCCTGCTCGTGCAGGTGGGGACCCTGTCCTCCTCCCACCGCTCGTTGGTTGTCTGTTTTCGTTCTTTCTTTTTACTACTGACCCGGGACTACTTTCTTTCTGCCGGGCGACGAGCTGCTGCTCGACCAGATCTCTCCAATCTCACGAAAAATCCAGGGAGCCTAAAGCGACTCCTGCGAGGCCACGGCGAGGCACCGAGGAAATACGTCCTATGGTTCACATAAACGCACAACCCCGGGCCCGAAATCGCACAGAGTTCAGAGACAGTCACGCAACTCGGGGTCCCAGGGAAGGCGAGCAAAAACCTTATCGCGCGCGCTAGGCGCCAACTCGGAGGCCGCACCGGTCAGGCGCGCTGCCGGAGAGAGGGAGGCGGTCCGAGGGTGAATCGCCAGCTGCCGCGGCAGGCGGCTGAGCAGCAGAGCTCTGGCACCGGCGGGCGGCGGTGTGCCGCCGCCAGGGCAGCTTCAAGTCGCATTGCGAAAAAAGATTTTTTTTTGGTTGATGCTACCCAAACTGCACTCCAAGCTCCAAGTGCACTGGGCTTACTGGGACTGTCCCAAAATCCTGCTCGTGCAGGTGGGGACCCTGTCCTCCTCCCACCGCTCGTTGGTTGTCTGTTTTCGTTCTTTCTTTTTACTACTGACCCGGGACTACTTTCTTTCTGCCGGGCGACGAGCTGCTGCTCGACCAGATCTCTCCAATCTCACGAAAAATCCAGGGAGCCTAAAGCGACTCCTGCGAGGCCACGGCGAGGCACCGAGGAAATACGTCCTATGGTTCACATAAACGCACAACCCCGGGCCCGAAATCGCACAGAGTTCAGAGACAGTCACGCAACTCGGGGTCCCAGGGAAGGCGAGCAAAAACCTTATCGCGCGCGCTAGACACCATGGTTCACACAATCTGCTCTGCGATGGCCGTGTGTGAAGAACGACTGAGATACGCTGCTTCTGCTCGCAGGCCCTAGCCAATTCTTGGTGGTCCAAGTCACCTCGATCCTCGTCGAGGTCTGGGCCCGCGTCAAATAAATAAATAAAAAAGGACACCTCTCTCCTGTGAGGTGGGTAAAAAAGAACAGGTCCCCGCCCTTGCGATCTTTGTGCAGGGTTCTTTTGTGGGTGTGGTCGGCGACTAGCCGGGGTCGTCCTCCCGATGGGGGACTAGCACTAGCCGTCTTCCACATGGATCATGGTCCCTCGGGTCCCTGCTGCTCCTAATCTCTTCGTTTGGCCTGTACACGTTATTCTTCCGATTCTATATTCTTTTTCGATGCGATTTTCAGCGATTTTCAGCAGGAATATGAAGAATATTTGAGAATATAGACCCTGTTTTGGACAAGAATACGGAAAGAGTACGGAAAAAGAATATAGATAGTACTTGGCGAGAAAAACGTGTGCAGGCCAACTCTTCGTACATCCTCCTGCTGATCTCCGCAAAGTCCTGCTCCCTCCCTCGTCTCGCCCTGCGCGTCTGCTCCGCCTCACCGTCTTCTGCCCTGCGTCGTCTGGCGACGGGCCCGCGTCAGCTTGTTCTGCCCACAGCGCGTTCGCCGCCTTCCAGAGAATCTCGCCGACCCCGAAAGAAGATCTTACACCGCCCTTCCTGGCAGCGAGCTCCCTCCGACCCACCCGCGCTAGGTCTCGGGTTTGACGCATGGGGTCACTCCCGCGAAACTCGTGAACTAGCCGGGGCAGTCGGAGAAGGGGCAACTCCGTGCACTGACGGTCGGCCGTCAGAAACCACGCCTGCGTGGATCGCGTCACACCAATCCTCGCTACCCAACGCGGCCAAAGGATATCCACCTCGAGAATCTCGAGAAAAAGATCTCCGGCAACAACACTTCCGGGTTGGCACGGGACTGGCAGGAAAGAAGAGCCTGTGCCGTGTGTGTGTGTGGCCGACGTGCCGTGCTGGGCCTCGAGCCCAACGACGCGTGCACCCCTGCGGCGGCGGCCCAGTGGCTCCAGTTCGCCGAGTGCAGTGGCCGCACGTCACCTACTTTGACTCGCCCCAGGAGCTGCACGCCAAGGTGGAGCAGCTTCTCCGCGACGAGAGCGCCCGGCGCACCATCTCAGACGGCGCAAAGGCATTCTTCGCCGCCGAGCGAGAGCGGGCCGCGGGGCACGTGCGCGCGGCGCTCCAGAGGTCGCTGCGTGTGGCGCCCGCGCGGGCAGCCCCGAGGGAGCGAGAGGGCGTGCCGGGGTTTGCGATGATTTTGAGTGCGCATGGGGGTGATTCGACACACAGGCAGGAGGAGAAAGAGGAGAGAGAGAGAGACAGACACACAGACACACACACGAACACGACACGCACCTACTCCCTGTCGACAAGGAGCCCAAATCCTCCGTCGCGGTGGTCGTTGGTCGTGACGCGCCCACGCCCATCTCACGCAAAGTCGAGAGCGGACAGACAGCGAACGACATTCCTCATGGGCCGCAAGCCGCTCGCGTCCGCCCGCACGGCCAGCCGCTCGGCGGCGGCGGCGGCGCACGTGCTCTCGCAGTGCCTGAGGGCGGCCGCCCTCTACCTCGGCAGTGATAGCCTATTTCATGGACGGATCAGCGTGCCGGTGTTCGCGGCGGCCACGCACGCCGCCGTCGCCGCCACGCTTGCGGCGGCGTACCGACCGCCGCTTGCTGCCGCCCTCGCAAACGCGCACGCACTGCTGCTCTCTGGCGCAGCGTGTGCGGCGTCGCTCTGCCTGTGGTCGCTCGGCCTCGCGCGGTGCGGCCCGCTGCGCACCACCCTGCTCGACTACTCCGAGCTCGTCGTGGCGAACGTGCTCGCGGCCCTTTCCGGCAGGCCGGTGCGGCAGCGCGGGCGGCGGCGCGGCCTTCTCGCCCTGCTTCTCGCCTATGCCGCGCTGCTGCTCACCCACGGCATGCACCACCGCGATGGCGGCGGCGGCAAGGCGGAGCGCTTCTTCGAGCCCGAGAGCGGGGTGTACGACTCTGCGCGCTCGCTCCTGGACTCGGCCTCCGGCGAGGCTGCGCTCGCTGCCGCCGCCGCCATCAACGCGCTGCGGCGGTCGGCGAGTCTAGAAGCGGAAGACGGATTCTTGTCCTCCACTCGAGAGGACACGCCCTCCGCTGTATTCGACCGTATTCCGCGGTCTTCACCGTGTTCGCACCCCTCGCATTCACGCGGTGCTCTGAATACAATGCACAACACCGTCTCCCGCCCTGACGCTGGCCTTCACACAAAAGCGCAGCCCAGGGCCCAGAGATCGCACGCCACACGGACAGTCGAGAACGGGCAGGCGGACAGAGACCGACTTGGTGTTCACCATGTAGGTCGGCGAGCCGCCGCCTCGAGGCTGAGGTCGGGCCAAACCGGCTGGAGGCGCTGACGCACGCTGCAGCCGGTTTGCTGCTGCTGCTGCTACTGCTTGCTCAGGCGTTGCTCGTCCTCCCTGCGCCCCTCCCCTCCCTGCCGCCGCCCGCCGCCGCTTCCGCCGAGAAGGGGCCTGCCGGTCTCGAAGATTGGCCGCGACTGACCGCGACTGACCGAGATCGACGCCTCGTCCTCCCAGGCGACACTCGCCCAAT